TTGCTACAAATGCATGCATATTTACGTGTAAATGTATAGAAAGTCTAGAAGAATATGCACTAAACTTAAAAACATTGGTTTTACCTTTGAGAAGACTGACAGCCTTTGGGGCAGGAGTTGGGGTACCAGGGTACTTTATGGGTCGGCTTTGTTTGAATACTGATGTGATTTTTTTAAAAGATTTTATTTATTTATTTTGACAGAGGGAAAGAGAGACAGCGAGAGAGGGAACACAAGCAGGGGGAGTGGGAGAGGGAGAAGCAGGCTTCCCGCGGAGCAGGGAGCCCGATGTGGGGCTCGATCCCAGGACCCTGGAATCATGACTGGAGCTGAAGGCAGACGCTTAACGACTGAGCCACCCAGGCGCCCCGTGATGTGATTTTTTTAAGGAAAAATTATCACTTAAAAAAAGTCTTCATTATTTCATTTGTTCAACAAACACTTATTGGATATTCTCTTACACTAGGCACTGTGCAAAGATCTGAAATAAGATAGGAACCCTACTCACAAGTTCATGTTCTAATATAGTGTTTTTCAAACTTTGGGCCACAGTTCTTTAGTGGTTTCTGAAATTAAAAATCATTGGATCATATTGTATTATAACCTAAGGTATAAAATAAAATATCCATGAGTCCCTACTGATAGAAATAAGTGATTGAGTAAATAAATAATAGGGTACAGTAGACAGATCACCTGCACTGTAGAATTCCAAATAATTTACATAGGTACTTCTCCCTCAAGGAGATGGAACATAACTTCCCACCCCTTAAATGTGGGCTACATATAATGACTTCCCTCTAAAGAGTATGGTATAAAAAGGGGAGGGATAACTTTACAGTACAGAAACCTAACAAAAACTGTCTCAGCCAGATGATCAAGTTCAGTTTCAACAGTGATATATCATGTTGATAGTATGTGCCTTTTGTGTGTTGGGGCTCAGTCCGTTAAGCATCTGCTTTCGGCTCAGGGTCCTGGGATCAAGCCCCGCGCTGGGTTCCCCGTTCAGCAGGGAGTCTGCTTCTCTTTCTTCCTCTGCACCCCCGCCCCCGCCGCTCGTACTTGTGTGCTCTCTTTCAAATAAATAAAATCTTAAAAAAAGAAAAGAAAAATCCATATATCTATGTAACCCAAACACCTCACAACTACATTTTTTATAAAATGTCACAAAAATCACCAGAGTACAATACACACAGTATGGGTAGGTATTGTTTGGTGATCATCATATATAACTGAATCAGATATATATGTACCTGAATGCTGGGTCACAATAAAATTGTCACAATAAAAAAGTAAAAATCACTGGTCTTGTAGGAGAGCTTAGTATGTAATCAGATAATGATTACATAGGGTGACAAGTTTTGTAAGATACAGTTATGAGTTCAAAGAAGGATAGCTAGCGGGGCGCCTGGGTGGCTCAGTTGGTTAAGCGACTGCCTTCGGCTCAGGTCATGATCCTGGAGTCCCGGGATCGAGTCCCACATCGGGCTCCCTGCTCAGCAGGGAGTCTGCTTCTGCCTCTGACCCTCCCCCCTCTCGTGCTCTCTCTCTCAAATAAATAAATAAAGTATTTTTTAAAAAAGAAAGGATAGTAGCTAGCTCTTTATGATTAGCAATAAGGGACTGGGATAGGCAGACTTCACTGAAGAAAAAGTGATATATTATCATAATGACTTTCACCAGTACTTGTGTAGCCCTCACTATGTGCCAACTGCCAAACCTAGTTCTAAGAACATTACATATACTAACTCCTCTAATCCTTACAACTCAGAAGGTAAGTACTACCTATTATTATTCCCATTGTACCTTTGACTGAGTACTAAAGGTTAAGTAACTTGCCGGGGATCACAAAATTAACAGTCAAGCCCCAGTTCATGCTTTTGACTATTATACTGTTATGAGGACTTTATGTTTCCCTGGAGGAAATTTGCTTTTTAACTTGGAGGATTTTATTTCAATCAATTTTATGGGGCCAAAAGTGTTTTTGTCTAATATTACGTGTGTGGGGGCGTCTGGATGGCTCAGTTGGTTAAGCGACTGCCTCTGGCTCAGGTCATGATCCTGGAGTCCCGGGATCGAGTCCCACATCGGGCTCCCTGCTCAGCAGGGAGTCTGCTTCTCCCTCTGACCCTCTTCCCTCTCATGCTCTCTATCTCTCTCTCTCTCTCAAATAAATAAAATCTTAAAAAAAAAAAAGAATTCTTTCTAAAAAAAATAATATTACATGTGTGTGTCTTACAGTAATCTGATTCTGAGGTACATAAAAAGCCTTTAGAGCTAGAAAGGATATTCGTCATCATCAAATACCACTTTGATTGCAAAAACTTCATACTCTACTGTTTTCATGCGTTGTATTGTTTGGTATTTTCCAAATTAAATGTTCAGGAGCATTAGAGAATATTGACTTGATCGTTCCCAAAGCTACCTGAAGTTGATGCTTGGTAAGCTTAAATGAACATCTGATGACACTAATACACTGAGTGAGGCAAAGAGGCAATGTGATAAATTAAAGACAGCATCAGATTATGAGTCAGGGGGCCAGAATCCAAGACTTCACTCTACATCTCAGATTATCCATTTTTCCATCTGCAAAATGAAGGGAGTGCACATCAGGGATGACAGATATACAGTGCATATGTTGCCACACCCTGCTTCCTAACCTGCAACTGACATACTAATCGTTCATAGCATCCTTTTGAATCTGAACAGTTCCAGAATCCTTCCCAACACAGTGCTCAAAGCAGCAAATACAGTTAGTCACAGTTGGCACCCAAGTTAAAATCTATTTGTCATCTTTGGATGACAGTCTCAGAATACACCATCAGAAATATGAAAACTATACCCAATTCAGTATGCATTTCAATTGTTCTAGTCTCTCTTTTCTCTAGGCATTTAGTTTGTATCACTAACTAGGGTCCTGGGACATTGATCTGCTCATATTCTACTATGACTATACCAAACTCCCTCATCTTGGCCTTTAGGCATCCTGGCATCCTTTGTGTAAAGCTTTCCCCAGTGAAATTTCCCTTCTTTTTCTGTCCTTGATTCACACAGTCTCTTGGGTGTGGAGTCCCCCAGGTCCTGGCAATCAAAACATCTTCCCCAGCCTTGTGTGTCCTTGAATGCAAAGAGTTTTATAAACAAAGGAAGTTCATACCTGCTCCCTGGCCACTCCCAGCACTTGTCTAGGCATATTCTTTCCTTATTACCCTACCTCAGTTTCATAATTATTTGCTTTCTCTCCTCCCTGATGATTAGTAACCAGGATTGGTGCTTAAAGCATTCATCTTCTGTTCTCAAACAGGTACTTGTCTCTGAGTCTCTACATTGTATATTTCGGCTTTGTGTATTTTATAATAGAGTTTACAATTTTACTTGTCCACTTTATTACCACTGTGTAATCCTACAGTTACAAATTGTGTAATTGTTTATGAGCATGCAAAACAAAGATGATGTATTTGAGCCTTTATAGATGCCTTCAGCTACTATTTTCAAGGCTTGCATCCTAATGAGTATCAATTCAACACGCCCTTGTTTGTCATCCTTGCTCCTGAAGTCAGTGGGAAGGAATGCTGTGCTTGTTAAGGTGGAAACCAATTTGATCCGTTGGTGTAACATCTCAATGGGATCATTTTACATCTCATTTTACCGTAAACTTAATGCAGCCAGGGCATTTAAAGGCAAAGGTTTGGCCATGAATACCTTTGAGACAATATCTTTTTCTTTTTTTTGAAGATTTATTCATTTGAGAGAGAGGGAGAGAGAGCAGGAGTAGGAGGGGCAGAGGGAGAAGGAGACAAGCCGACTCCCCTCTGAGCAGGGAACACCGACAGGGCTTGATCCCAGGACCCTGAGATCATGACCTGAGCCGAAACCAGGAGTCCGACACTCAACCGACTGAGCCACCCAGGCGCCCAAGACAGTATCTCTTTCTTCTAGCTGGCGGTTGGAATCCAGAGTATAAGATTGTAATTTCTAACTTTTGTGAAGATCGTTTTAAAATATCTTTGCTAAAAGGGAATAAAAGAATGGATGGTAACTTAATTTACTGGTCTCCAGCCATAATTTACTGGCAGTAATTTGTAAGGAGAATAAAAGCAGCACTTAATACCAAATGACTAAACAGAGTATGTTGCAATCCCACCTACAGTAGTGAGCTTATCTTCCTGGAAAAGGGAGTGAATGACCACAGGCCTCCCCCATGGCACAGCTGCCCTGTCCCGGCTGAGCTGGTCTACATAACATCCTGTCCTGTGCCCTGGATGATCACGACGGCCCAGGCTTTACCAGCCTGGGCCTGGCTCTTTCCAGCTCTTCATGTTTGGAATTATTGTGAGATAACCACCTGTCTGATACGGTTTAAGAAATAAGAGATGAACTGGGAGGGCAAAGAGTAATACAAAATGTAGTCCAAGAATTATCCCATAATCTGTTGCAACATTTCTGTAAAATTATTCCATATTTTAAAAGTTCATTTAAGAGGGGTTCCTGGGTGGCTCAGTTGGTTAAGCGTCTGCCTTCAGCCCAGGTCTTGATCCAACGGTCATGAGTTCAAGCCCCACATTAGGCTCTGTGCTGGGCATGGAGCCTACTTTAAAAAAAAAGTTTTGGAAGATAACTAATGAAAATTTATGTTTAGTTTTTTTTTTAATAGATTTGATTTGCTTATTTGACAGAGGGAGAGAGAGAGAGAGCATAAGCAGGGGGAGTGGCAGGCAGAGGGAGAGGGAGAAGCAGGCTTCCTGCTGAGTAGGGAGCCGCACATGGGGCTTGATCCCAGGACCCTGGGATCATGACCTGAGCTGAAGGCAGACGCTTAACCGACTGAGCCACCCAGGCATCCCTATGTTTAGTTATTTATTAAAACCTCATTTAATTCATAGGAGTGAAGACCAGTATTATCGGATCACATTTTATTTACTTCTAGTTCATCTGTAGAACACATCTAGTATTATTCTTTGAGATGTTTGATCTTAGCTTTTTGTTGTTCTTTCATCCTTCAGGTTCTAATTACAGGCACCCTTTGACATAACTTTTGAACTATCTGGAAAAATATTGCCCAGAAAAAAAAATGATAAAATTTTTCCTCATGGTGAATAAACAAGGACAGACCCGACTTGCTAAATACTATGAACATGTGGAGATCAATAAGCGTACAGTTCTGGAAACGGAAGTCATAAAGAGCTGTCTCTCCCGATCCAATGAACAAGTAAGTTTCTGGTTCTCTCTTTTATCTCCTCATTCAACTAGGCAGTGGCAGATCTGTTACTACTGAATCTCAAGGGCCATCAAGTTCTTTGAACTACGTTCTTTCAACGGCTATTAGGGAAAATAACAAATGAAGTGAATGAAGACTGAAGCATAGCTCGCTTGCTTTATATCCCCTTAAGGAAAATACCAACAAGGAAAACCAGGAAAAGCCTTGAGTTCTTATTTAGGTCAGCGTATTTGTCTCAAATTTATTCCAGCTAATAGACATACCTTCTTTTTTTGTCCATATGAATTTAGCCTTTACAACTCTTAGGGGTGCCCCCAGCAGGTGGCTCGCTTTAAGCCAAGAGATTAAGGTCAGATGATTGGTATAGAGGTGAACACTCGAGACCCACTTTGTGCCAGAGAATACTAGCATGATTCTCATGTAGAGCATAGTTTTTTTTCTGCTTATCATTTTTGTAAACTTAACACCAATATAATACTAGAACTAGTGATTTAAAAAACAAAACAAATTTTATTTGAACTTGTCTTGTTTTATAATGTAGATGGGGTAAGCAGAAGTTAAAAATTCATATGACACAACAAATCTACCCATTCTGTCAAAATTGAGGTTAAACAAAATCATTAAAATAATAACAAATAAGAATTTTAGGAACTGAGTCTATTTTTACAAAGAGGTTTAATTGGAGAATTACTTAATCAGGGTTCTAAACTTTGAGTCTATTGGAGATCACTGAACAAACTGCAGCAAAATCAGAACGATTGTTTAAATCACCCATTAATTTTGCCAGTTCTCCATTTCATAGCATATATAGAAAGGCTGTGGGAACCACTGCTAGGTCTTAAAATATTAAGGTACATCCGTGCTCAGAAGTTACATGTTGGAACTATGTTTCCCTTGGCTTCTAAATTGATTTTCCAGTCTCAACATCTCAGAGTCCTCTTTGAATTACTACTTTGGCCTGCCATGGCACACATTGCTTCATGTAGTTGTCAAAGGGAAACAGGAACTATTAAAGGGCTGTGTTAATAGTCACATACTTTAAATAAAGATAACCTCCAGAAGCGTTCTTCTTGAATCTTTCTGCAGAAGGCAGGCACTGCACAGTTTCAAACACCATCTTCACGATACGTTACCCTTTGAAATATATGCTTTGGAACGAATATATTATTAGATATTTTTGAAGCATTCTGAATTCTTTTTTTTTAAGATTTTATTTATTTACTTGAGAGAGAGAGAAAGCGAAAGAGAGAGAGCATGAGCTGAGGGGGAGGGGCAGGTAGAGGGGAGGGAGAGGGAGAAGCAGACTCCCCGCTGAGCAGGGAGCTTTTTTTTTTTTTTATAAATGCATTTTTCTTTTTTTTAACGATTTTTATTCATTTGTCAGAGAGAGAGAGAGAGCACAAGCAAGGGGAGCAGCAGAGGGAGAGGGAGAAGCAAGCTCCTCACTGAGCAAGGAGCCCGATGCGGGACTCGATCCCAGGATCCTGAGGTCATGACCTGAGCCGAAGGCAGACTCTTAACGACTGAGCCACCCAGGCGTCCCTGAGCAGGGAACCTTAACAAGGGGCTCTATCCCAGGACCCTGGGATTATGACCTGAGCTAAAGGCAGACGCTTAACTGACTGAGCCACCGAGGTGCCCCCTTAATTATTTTAGATTTTAAAAGGAATCCACTGGGCTTTTGGATAATTAGGCGCTGAAGTAACACAATCTCAGCTTAGTTTTTATTTTATCCACAAAAGTACTTGCTACTTTTTTTTTTTTTTTTTTTTGGTCCTGAGAGGCTTTGAAAAAATGTTCTTCAGTTCTTTCAGATAGGTTGTGTTTCCTTGAAAGATCCAGCTGAGCAGAAATCACACTGGCTCTACAGTGAGCCAAAAATGCAGAGTGGTACTGCACTTCTTACCTTTATCCTCATTTTATTTTATTTTAAAGATTTTATTTATTTGACAGAGAGAGACACAGCGAGAGAGGGAACACAAGCAGGGGGAGTGGGAGAGGGAGAAGCAGGCTTCCCACTGAGCAGGGAGCCCGATGCGGGGCTCGATCCCAGGACCCTGGGACCATGACCTGAGCCGAAGGCAGAAGCTTAATGACAGCCACCCAGGTGCCCAGAGAAGAAAATCTTCTTTGTCACGTTGGCTTATTTTCATGTTGGAAGCAGTTTAAAATTATTCAGTACCTTTGCCTGCTGATTTCCACACAGAGCAAAGCAAAGGAATGAGAAGGAGTACAGGTGGGAACCCACGTGGATGCTCCAAGCCTTTTTTCCTAGACCCGTTCTCTGCCTCCCACTAGAGATGCTTCCAAGTAGTCCCCCGAATACTGTGAGGCGGCAACCAACAGGCAACCAACCAAGATTGTGTAACATTTTAATATTGCATATTTCTGGGAATGTGTTGACTGATACAGAAATCAGAACTTAGAAATTATGCAGGCCCTTTTGAAGAAATCCATGGCAACCATAGGAATTAATATCTAATTGTGTTTTTTCTAGTGTTCTTTCATTGAATTTAAGGATTTTAAGCTGATATGTCGGCGGTATGCAGCTCTCCTCATTGTGGTTGGAGTTAATGACACTGAGGTATGGTAACAGAGGAGCCTATAGAAAATGCAAGAAAATTAGGAATGACAGCCTGATTTTTTTTTAATTTTTAAAGATTTTATTTATCTGACAGAGAGAGAGAGAGGAAGAGAGCACAAGCAGGGGGAGCGGCAGGCAGAGGGAGAAGCAGGCTTCCCGCTGAGCAGGGAGCCCAATGCAGGGCTCAATCCCAGGACCCTGAAATCATGACCTGAGCCGAAGGCAGACGCTCAACCGACTGAGCCACCCAGGGGCCCCGAAAGTCTGATTTTTATTCCTCCTTAAATTGACATTTCCTTCTCTACTTGCCTATCTAAGAATTACCTTGACTCCTAAAGGATCGTTTCTCTATCAAGGCTAGGGAAAGCTGTGTGGAAGAAAAATATCTAGGATTTCTCTTGGATTCGATGAGTGGCATGTGGGGAAGCACCAAACCACAGACAGAATGCTTTCCTCGACCCTAGGCAATACCAGTGTCCTGCCCTTGTTCTGTGTGGCCCAGTGTGGCAGCTTAGACAGTTGTAGAGGCCATTCAGTTGTGGCATGAAATATAGGCTGACAGATCAGAAGCCAGAGCAAACTATAAATATGATTGTGTTGTGACTGAATTTCCTCAGATTTAGTTCACCTTTCCAGAAACGTCAGTCCCAGGTCAACAGAACCTAAGGCTATTGAATCCATGAAAAGCATTTAAGATTTAAGATACTTCAGAATTTCAGTTGATTGTTTTTTATCCGTGAACCAAACCTAGAGGTAGTTTCCCATCTTCCCAAATGGAAAATTGGTGGCATGAAGAACCTGAAACGCTGTTTCAGCCAGTTGATGATAAGTTCAGGGAGCAGAACTCAAAAACCCTAAACACTAGACTCGATCTGGTTTCATTCCCCTAAGTTCATTAAGGACTTAAAGTCTTAGAGGTGAAGATTTTCGATTTTCCCTCTATGGATAAGCTTCTTTCAAACAAGTGAGTCATAGAACTATTCTGAATATTTGTCAGTGTCTAATTTATACATGGGCCATACTAAAACTAATTGTACCCTTCCTTTTTTATTTCAGAATGAGATGGCCATTTATGAATTCATCCATAACTTTGTGGAAGTGTTAGATGAGTACTTCAGCCGAGTGGTAAGTCTAATGACTAAGAAATGGTTTATGTCCTTCTCCCAGTTTCCCAGAAATGGTCTATATCAAGAACCTGTGTTCATATAGAGCTTTACCATGTAAAAGTTAAAACTCAGATGATGCCACATTTTCTTTACCTTTCCTTCTGGCTCATCCAAAGTGTTACAAACCACTGTGTGCTTTAGATCTTTATAAAAAACCAGTTCTACAAGCCTAAGAACCTCTTACGCCTTTTCTTTTAATTAAGAGACTTGGCTATTTAACTTTCTCTCTCTCTCTCTTTTCTGTTTCCCTTCCTAAGGCACTAGGGACCTTTTTAGTTTAGGAATCATTTCCATCCACACCTTTGCTTTGATGGTCAAAACCAACTCCCCTTAAGGAATACATGAGTTCCTTTCCAACAGCCCCCTTTTTAAAGATTTTATTTATCTCTCTGAGAGAGAGAGAGGGTGTGCGTGCAAGAGTGGGGAGAGAGGCAGAGGGGGAGAGAGAGAATCCCAAGCAGACTCCCTCTGAGAGCAGAGCCTGACACGGGGCTCGATCTCATGACCCTGAGATCATGACCTAAACCTAGACCAAGAGTTGGACGCTTCACCGACTGAGCCACCCAGATGCCTCCCAACAGCCCCCTTTCTTAAAAAACAAAACAAAACAAAACAAAACCCAGCTGTATTGAAATAGAATTTACATACCCCGAAACTCACCCATTTAACCCGTATAGGTTTTCGTATTTACACACAGTTGTGCAGCCATCAGCAAAGTCAATTTTAGACTATTTCATAACCACCACGAAATCACTTATTGTCAGGGGACAATAAGGCTGGCCTCAAACTCCATCTTTGTATTGATTGCTTGGAGAGAGTGCCATAACTCAGCACTGTCCAGTAGAACTTTCCACCACCACAGAAATGTTCTGTACCTGTGCCATCCAGTGCAGGAGGCACTAGCCACATGTGGCTTTTCAAAACTGGAAACGTGATTAGTATAAAGGAGGAAATGAGGAATTTAATCTTAATTCATTTGATCCGCCAAATGATGCTGGTGGTTACCGTATTAGCACAGCTCTGGTTCCTGCTTAATCGCAGTGACCACTCTCTTAAGACAGACTGGTTTGCAAGTCAGGGTCTGTGATTCAGAGCTGGCCATGATTAGCCATTTTAAGGGAACACCTATCAAGAAGAATAACATTTCCCAAAAAAGCAATATTTTAAACCTGGAACAATTATGAGTGAGTACAAGCACTATCATTGCTAAGGTTTTTAAAATTATTATTATATTTGGTGACTGAGAATAAATAGCATGTTGCTGAATTCTTGCTGTAATTCTGGGGAGAGAGTCAGTGACCACATGAACCACAGAAGTAAAGATTAGAATTTAATTTAAACTGGACACAGGACTCCCAGCAGTACTGTGAAATGGCTCAGTTCAGGATGACAGTAGCAAAAAGAAGAGACAAAGGAGGGAAGAGAGTACTATGGTAAAGAAAATAGAATCTGCCCCACTCGGAGAATGCCTTGTCATCTAAGATTTATTTTTGGGTTTGTGAGTTTTAAACATTCTTGCTGAGACTATTTTAATCTTGGTTTCCAAATCTTAAATTTGGAGATCAGTCTCATGCTGTCTGGGCTGAAAGAAGCATCTCAGCCTCACATTTCAAAACAAAAAAAACAACCCGGTTAGCTCCCCTGGGGGCAAGAGAGGACGGTTGCTGTTGAGGATCGGGTGTCATTGGGGATCAGGGTCGTCATTGCTGCACTTGACAAACCTTAAGTCCTTTCAGATGTGAATTTAAATCTGTTTACTATTTCTCCCTCTATGATTTTTTTTATGATCTAAACATCTCTGATCACTGAAAAAAATTGAAAACACATATAAGCAAAAAGAAAGGGGAGAAGATCGTGAGTAAGCCCATGACTTACTGATACATACTATTAGGTACATTTCCTTTTAGACTTTATGTATCTGTCTGTATCTAACTATATAACTGTATCTAATTATGTATCTGTCTCTACATATACATGTATCCGTGGGATAGTACTGTACATACCGTGTTACAACTTACTTTTTTACTTAACAATGTCAGTACTTATATATCTATAGCCTCATTTGTGGATCTGCAATAATATATTTAACTAGTCCCCCCTTGATAGATACTTAGCTTGTTTTCAGTAATTTGCTACTATAAACATTACCCTAAACATCCTATCACACATTGTTGTCCTGTTATCTAATTATTTCCTCAGGATAAACTTCTAGAAGTAAAAATGATGGATTCAAAGGGCATGCATATTATTAAGGTTTTTGATACACATATCAAACTAGCTATCATCTGTAAAGGTCGAGGTTGTCTATTCCCTCTATGTTCTCTCTCTCTCTTTTTTTTAAAGATTGTATTTATTTATTTGACAGAGAGAGGGAACACAAGCAGGGGGAGTGGGAGAGGGAGAAGCAGACTTCCCGCAGAGCAGGGAGCCCAATGTGGGGCTCAATCCCAGGACCCTGGGATCATGACCTGAGCCAAAGGCAGACGCTGAACAACTGAGCCACCCAGGCGCCCCGACTCCGTCTATGTTCTAAGGATGAATTGTTCTGGTTGGCAAAATTCCTCCAAACTGCAGCCTATTTTTTTTTCTTTATTTTTTTTATTTGACAAGCAGCATTATCATGTTTGTCATTTTAATGTAGATATAATTATTAGGTTATCTGTCATATTACAATATTTAAGTTTTTTATTTTATGTCCTTTAAGATACGTTAAAAAAAATGCAGCCTATTTTTTTAAGAAGCACAGTCCAGGGGGCGCCTGGGTGGCGCAGTGGGTTCAGTGTCCGACCCTTGGTTTCAGCTCAGATCATGATCTCAGGGTCGTGAGATCAAGCCCGCATCAGGCTCCATGCTCAGTGCAGTCTGCTTGAAATTCTGTCCTTCTGCTCCTCCCCGCTACCCATGTGTGTGCATGCATGCTCTCTCTCTCTCTCTCATAAATAAGTCTCTGATAAATAAATAAATAAATAAATAGATAGCTAGCTAGCACAGTCCCAGACTCAGGGCCTTCCTGCTCAGACTTGTATGTACAGAGCTGCCTCCCCGACCTGCTCCCAAGCCTGTGGCCAGAGCAGCTGCTAACTCTGGTAAGCACATGTGCCCCAGTGTCCCATTCTCATCTTTGTACTTTTTTCTCTTTTCCAGAGTGAATTAGATGTATCCTTTTTCAAAGCTGTGAGCCAGGTTTTCCTTAGTACTTGGCAAAGCACAGGGGTAGTCCTGATCAGGTAAGTGCCGCGGGGCAGGAAAAGGGTGCAGCAGAATCCAGAATCCAGAATGCTAATTATCCATTAACAACTGACAAGATGGTCCAAGGTGCAGGAGCTTTGCAGAAAGACCCCTGCCCTTTTACACAAAGATGATTCTTATTAAGATTCTTATATTTTTCAGACAGGCCAATGCTATGGTCGTAGTTGATAATAACTGTTAGAATAATGTAACTTCTTTTAAGTATATAGATTAGACCTTTACAGAATTTGAATAACACAGCCAGAAAGTGCTTGGTCCTCCTAGAGAGAATGGATTTTCATGGCTCCAGGTCTAAATCTCCAGAAATCCCTCACATGATCAGAATAAGGCCTTCAAGGATGATAAACTGGAGGGTTAAAGAGTTGCCTGGCTTGTGTTCATTTACTTTTATAACAGAGAAAGCTCTCTTCTTCTCTTTCTTCTCCCTTTTAAATCAAAGTATGCAAGCACCACTCTCCCCCCCCAACAAACATTATTTGCTTCAAATACTGTAGGCCTGTGGATTTTGGCAGGGGCCCCCTGGGCTTTGCGTGAATGCTCTGGAGGCAAGGTGACTTTTAAGTTAATTTTTACTTCAAAAATCTGCTTGAAAGCAATAAATGAGAGGCCTTTGGGAAAACATCAGGCTTAAATCTAAAATAGTAACAAATATAACAAATATATATTAATTATAACATGTTTCTATATACATATATATATATATTAGACATCAGCCTATCTGGGGGAAACGGCCCTTTAGCTTTTACTATTGATAGAAAATGTCATCATGTTGATAAACTCCATTTACAGGCTGTATCTGGAAGCCTCTGTAACTGGGAAAATCTGAGTGCCCTCTAGTGGTGAGTGACCTAAATCTATGATCCCTTTGACCTAGGACACCCAAGACCAGACTGTATATTAAGGTGTATTTTTATTCAGCATGTTACATTCCATTTTAACTAGGCCCTTTAAAATTCAAAATCTCCTCCTCTTGTACAGGGAAATAAGAGAAATGCCTTTTGATTTAAAAAGTCATCAGGAAGATAGGAAAAGCTTTTAGACACCTCACCAGGAGTACAGAAACCCAAGTTCTGCTTTTGAACCTGCAACAAACTGTAGATGTTGGATAAGACAGATAACCCCTTCATCTCAAAATAATAGAATTAGGCTAGAAGAGCTTTAACACCCTCTCAGCCTTAATATTTGATGTTGCCTTGACTCTAGGTAACTGAGCTGAGTTACCTTACACCTAGAACAGGAAAAGAGACTCTAACTAGTCTAGAAGTTCAGAGAATTACAGTGAATCAGATATAATAGGGTATATTTTATAGCTGAACTAGCATCTTATATATTGACTAGATGTTTATTACAAGTAGAGACGGATTTGTCTTATAGTCCTCTGGTGTATAGCATAGGTCCAAGTAATGATCTCCAGCATTCTTTTTCTTTTTTTAAGATTTTACTTTTAAGTAATCTCCACACCCAACATGGGGCTCAGACTCACGACCCCGAGATCAAGAGTCCCACGCTCCTCCGATTGAGCCAGCCAGGCGCCCTGAGCTCCAGCATTCTTGTTCAAATTTAATTTCCACACTAAGGCACAGAGTTTGTATCTTTTCCCTTTATTTTACTTGGTTTCATTTTTGCCTTCCCTTCCTCTCTTATTTTTTTTTTAAAGATTTTATTTATTTATTTGACAGAGAGAGACCCAGCGAGAGAGGGAACACAAGCAGAGGGAGTGGGAAAGGGAGAAGCAGGCTTCCTGCTGAGCAGGGAGCCCGATGCGGGGCTCGATCCTAGGACCCTGGGATCATGACCTGAGCCGAAGGCAGACGCTTAACAACTGAACCACCCAGGTGCTCCTAACTTATTTTTTTTTAATTGAAATACAGTTAATGCACTATGTTAGTTTCAGGTGTACCTCTAATTTATATATTTATCATCCTTCGGAATTACTTAGGTGTATCCACCTGACAGATTAGGAATTTTGCTTCATTTAGAGAGGGGAACTGATTCTGCCCAGACCTGGAAGTGTAAGCCTTTGCTCTAGGCAAAATTTCACTTGGACCTCCAGTGGCCTAAAAGTGGAGCAGGTGGGGCAGGTAGGCTGCGGGGTACCCTCGCTTCTATTAACATTCTTAAAATGTTTCCATGCTTAGCCATCTGAAAACGATCCAATTAAAACCCATGCCTTTACTCTGCCTCATGCATAATTCTAACTATCACATGTCTGGGAAGGACCTCTCTATACCAATTTCGTAACAGTAAGGCAAGGGAGCCTTTTAGAGGTGCAGCCTCAGTTTCCCACCCCCTCTGTGTAGGGCCAGAGATGCTCCACATCACCGCCCTGGGAGCACGTGCCCAGCGCTGCTGAAGCAGCTAACATTGGTCAGGGCTGCGAGGCCAGGGAAGCTTCCTCCGGCCTTGAAAGGCTGAAAACAAGCAGCTGATAGAGTTGCAACCTGGAGCTGGTTCTCCCAACACTCACTACACCTATCCTTGTGTTTGCTCAGGCTTAAGAAAGCCTTCCTTGTCCGCCCACATGGAATAGACACGCTCGAAGGCTTGGCTTTGGTGCAGCACTGGGAGAATGGAAGTCAAAACCTCATGGAATTCCCAAGAAGCCCTTTACTTGCCATCTATTTCTCCAGAAGCTTCACTCCCCTGAAGCGTTCTGAGAATGGGGCAGCTTTGCAGAGTCCACATGGCTAGACTTTGAGAAATAAAATGCACCATTTATCTACAGGCGCTTAGAATGGGCTTGTTCTACTGCTAGTAAGACTGACATCACAGAGCAAGACAGATGGGATTTTAAAAGGGAGTGACCTGGGGCGCCTGGGTGGCTCAGTTGGTTAAGTGTCCAACGCTTGGTTTCAGCTCCGGTCATGATGTCCGAAACCCACGTTGCATCGGGCTCCGCGCTCAGTGGGGAGTCTGCTTCCCATCTCTCTCCCATTCTGCCCCTCCTCCCGCGCTCATTCTCTTTCTCTCTAGAATAAATAAGTAAATCTTAAAAAAAAAAAAAAAAAGAAAAGAAATGACCCAAGCACAAGAAATTAGGACAGAAATTCTGGCTTCTTGAAAGCGCTTCTACTAAGTGGCAACTCTGTGTTGCTGTTAGTGTCAGGTTGGGGCAGACCCTTGGGACCAAGCATGTCAGTGACCTAAATCCTTCACGTGCCCTGCATAAGTTCCTGTACACTCTTCACATTCTACTCTACTCACTGGGCTGAAATGTTGCCTGAGGACCCTGAGGCCCTGCTTCTATTGGGAAAGTTTGCCCTATCGTATACTTTAGTAGACATATTTAAGATTTCAAGTTCTGGGGGCTCCTGGCTGGCTCAGTCTTTAGAGCATGTAACTCTTAATCTTGAGATGGTGAGTTTGAGCCCCATGTTGGGGGGTAGATTGTACTTTAATAATTTTTTAAAAATCTAAAAAAAAAAAAAACCTTCAAATTCTATGAATTAAGATGGTTTTTAGGAATCAACTAATGAGCTTCCCAAAATGTGTTCAGCTCTGTAACCCCAGATGTGCTGTATTCTCCAGACAATTCATAGTTCAAAGGAGCTGTCTCTACCCCCTCTGCTAAATATTCAGGGGACTGGCACCAGTGAACAGCGCTGTGGGGGAGACGTCCGCCTCGTGCTCAGTTCAGGGCACAACTACTAATGTGTGAATGTACAGAAAGCCTTAACTGCCTTTTTGGTATTTGGTGCTTTTAAAGTGGCTTAAAGACTTGGTTTATTTGGGTTAGAGTGGAATGTAGCAGTACTACCTTTAGATTTGGACAACCAGGATCCCTTTCCTGGGCCCTGGGCCGTAGGGGGCCTCATCTGGCTCTCTTTCAGCAGTATCCCTCTCCATGGGATGAGGATGCTTATCCAGAGCCTGTAGGGACCCAATCCACTTCTTTTTTTTTTTTTATGATTTTATTTGTTTATTTGACAGAGACAAAACGAGAGGGGGAACACAAGCAGGGGCAGTGGGAGAGGGAAAAGCAGGCTTCCTGCTGAGCAGGGAGCCCGATGCGGGGCTCGATCCCAGGACCCCAGGATCATGACCCAAGCCGAAGGCAGACGCTCAACAACTGAGCCACCCAGGCGCCCGGACCCAATCCACTTCTTGACCATCCTCCAGCTACCTGAGTCCCCAGAATTCACTGGGTGCCCATATACCAGGGCGTATTGCTAGGTAGGGCCTGTACAGACCTCTCCCCATGACTGGGGGCAGGAATGACAGAGAGCCTGGCATGGTAGCCCACATACACACATGGGGGAAAAAGTGGGGAATGGGCTAGAATCCCTCTTTATATTCCAGGGCCACCGACCCCACAAATATAGGGTAGGCCTAGAATCCAGAATGTTTTCTTGATTCCAGAATCTTTTAAATAAATCTTTAGAACATTCATGTTTTTATTATCTAAGTCCTTAAAACCCAAAAGCCTGAGCAATTAGTTCTAGAACGTTAAAGCTCATGTGGGTGATGAAAAAGTACCTCTTTACTGTAGTTGAAGGTAGGGGAGAAGGAAGGGCCTCCGCTGCTGCTTGCCCTCCCTGACTCAGCTAGTTGTGCCCCTCCTCCCGCGCTCATTCTCTTTCTCTCTAGAATAAATAAGTAAATCTTAAAAAAAAAAAAAAAAAAGAAAAGAAATGACCCAAGCACAAGAAATTAGGACAGAAATTCTGGCTTCTTGAAAGCGCTTCTACTAAGTGGCAACTCTGTGTTGCTGTTAGTGTCAGGTTGGGGCAGACCCTTGGGACCAAGCATGTCAGTGACCTAAATCCTTCACGTGCCCTGCATAAGTTCCTGTACACTCTTCACATTCTACTCTACTCACTGGGCTGAAATGTTGCCTGAGGACCCTGAGGCCCTGCTTCTATTGGGAAAGTTTGCCCTATCGTATACTTTAGTAGACATATTTAAGA